CAGCAACTGCCCTTTCGTGCCCCTAGCCTCTGACATGATGACAGTCCACTCGGTTACCCACAGCTGGTTTGTTAAGCAGTTCATGAACATAGCATTCGCAAACCCCCCACATCTGTTCCAAACTGCCACGTGAAACTCCTCAAATGACCTGTTTGCCAGTACATTCAAATAAGGCATAAAAACTTTCATTAAACACATCTTTCCATCACAACACAGAATGGCTCCTGCACAGAGTGCAACAGTGTTCCAAGAATGGGTGACCAGTTCACTACAGCCTCAGGGGCGAGAGGATGCAGTTTCACACACACTGAGGTAAGTACCTACACTGGTACATAAACAGAAGTCTCATCACTAAAAGTCTCGGGCCTCTGCTGAGAGGACCACTCTGTGTTATTAGTACTTTTTGCATGAAGATTTCTGAAAGTACATTCATTACGAAAGGCAACCTTGTCTGTAAGGTTAAAGCAGATGGAGCTTAAAGCTGACCTCACGTGTAAAAGACTGTAATCCTTGGAGCTTTACATTTATTCTATGGAGCTTAGGTATGAACTTTTAACCTTAATATACAAGTAAGATCTAAGAGTTTGTGACAATGGTACATTAATACAAATATGTTTCTGGACATTATCCATCATATTGTTTTTATTTAAAACTGAGCAGGTTTTATCTGAAAATGGAGACAGAATCCAGTCTCCAAAATATTGTGTTTCAAATAAAAACATGATGATGGATAATGTCCAGAAATACAATATTTATATTAATATAGGATTGACAAATTCTGGGACTGAGTCCATTACGCATATTAAAAGCATGTAAAAAGATATTTCAACCTGTCAATGTAAGCTGATGCTTCCATCATGTTCCCTGTACAAAGTCAGACACATCCCTCTTGTGCTTCATGCTCAGTCCTGTTTAAGATTTTGTACCAAGCAGATCATTGTGATAGTTTGTAGTAATGGAGCAAAGGGTGAACATTAAATTTTGCTTCAAGACAGGCAAAACAGCTACTGAATATTTCCAGCTAATAAAACAGGCTTATGGTGCCAATGCTCTCTCATACACATGTTTTTGAATGGTCTGCAATCTTTCAGGACAGATGTGAAAATCTCAAAGATGATGAACACAGTGGATGGCTAAAAGCTGTTCGAACACCTAACATATTGAAACAGTTCAGGAACTGATTTCAACTGATCATCGAATGACTCTCTGGATGATAGAAGAGGAACTTGAAATTAGCAGAGAAACAATCTCAAAAATCTTAGTGGAAGATCTTGGAAAATGGAAGATCTATGCCAGGTTTCTTCACCAATGCTTGACCAATGAGTGCAAGGCTCTCAGACTGCAAGCATGTAAAGAGTTTATTCAGTTTGTGGATGAAGATGGTTCCTTGCTTGACAGATGTAACGGGCGATGAGACCTGCTGTTTTGAGTATGATCGCAAAACAAAAAGGCAAAGCGTGGAATGGCACTCACCAGGCTTTTAAAAAAACAATACATTTTTATTTCAAAAGCCAAAAAACAAAGTCAGGGAATCATTCATAAAGAATGGTGAATAAGGAATATTATGTCCAAGTATTGTGTCGTTTGTTTCAAAGAATTCGTCAAATAAGACCTCAGTTTCAGGAAAGAGGAAGTCGATTCCTCTTGCAAGAAAACACAAGACCCCACACTGCAGTATCAATAAAGCAGTTTTAGGCAAAACATTGGATTTCACATTTTAAATCATGCCCTATATTCTCCTGATTTATTCCCACCTGTCATTTTCTTATTCCCCAAAATCAAATTCACATTGAAAGGGAGAACATCTGAAGACACAGGGGATGTTAAAAGAATTGTAACAAAGGCATTAAATGAAAATGAAATCAAAAAAGTGTTTCCAACAACTTTATGAGTAAGCACAAAAGTGTGTGACATTTCAAGATGATTATTTGAAGAACATTAAAAGATATGTTTGATTTTAAATGTGGGTTTCTTAAAATTTATGCAGACCTGGAACTTAACAGTCTAACCTTGCATGTCAAGTGTCAGGTCTGGTATTCAGCTGGCAGATATTCTTTCTGTTAAGCCTCATATTGGCAGCTGTAAGCATTTGATGGACTACACAAAGAGGCAGGACTATCTGTCAACAAAAATATTCCACAAAGTAATCAGTTATGATCAAATTCTAAGCTCTGCTACTTATTAATACCCAGAGGCAAGATAACATCTAGAATTTAAATGATTTCAGTATATTCAAACTGTGTGCAGAAACAAAACACTTCATGAACACAAATTTGTAAGAATCTGATATCTCTCTGCATGAGAAGCGCACTGTTAGCTTTACAAGAACATATCTGTCCTCATTTGGGACAACCAAAGTTGCTTAAAATCTCAGCAAGGGAACTGCCTGAAGTTCTTGAGATCTCTCAGACACTTTCTACATGTCAGGGAAAGGTAAAGTTGTCACCGTTGCTTAACTAATCAAGCACTATGCCATGAAGGCGTATGGCGGAGTGGTTATATAGATCTACATTTTCTTGAGGTGACTGACCAGCTTCCTAACCCGGCCACTTTACACACAGGGAAAGACTACTCAGCACCCACTTGATACGAGGCTGGATGGGCCACACAGCTAGTCTGGATGATGTGGAGAAGAGAATTCTTGAACCTACTGGGATTCGAACTCTGACCCTAGTTGTCAAGTATCCAGTCACTATACTGACTATATTATCACGGCCACCATCATACACTCTAATACATAATTAATGACCTGTAAAGTGTATAATACTTGTATATGCTTCAAAGTCATATTGTAATAGAACACTTAATTAAAAGAATGGAACAGAACCAAGTTTAACACAATGTAAATTTGATATAGACTTTCTTTCTTTCTTTCTTTCTTTCTTTTTTTCTGTCTATGAAAAAACTCCTGCTACTCAGTGGATAGAGAACCGAGTAGGCCCCAGAGCCAATCTCAACATGCTGGAGAACAGAATTATACATATTTATAAATTTCCAAATAAGTTGTATGAAATGGGCTTAATGGTAAGAGAATTAATAAAAACAATAGTAAACTCAATGTCTCAGCCAAGTGGTTGGCACTCCTGCTTCATGTTTTGGGGGCCCTGGGGTCAAATATCTGTGTGAAGGGCTGCTTTGACAGTTTTCAGAAAAATATCAGTATAATGTTCCAACTGGTCCAAGACTGGCTGGCTGCCAGTAGCAACTGAAAAAATGTTGTGTGGCAATTAATTTCACACTCGGCATTCAAGTTTTCACAGTCTGATGCAGTCAAGTGTGGCAAGAAGTTAATATCAACACCATTAGTATATCACAGAAATAAATCTCTTTTAATTATTTTTTTTGGCTGTTCTCTTTTCCTGGCCTGCATGTGTTCAGGATAACACTACAATAATGAGAAGAGAATCTTGTGGGTCAAGGAGAGGCAAGAGGACAGAAAACAAAAGATCCTAGTTTTTCTGGAAACCAAAATATCTGATTGGTGACCATGATTTCCAAAATTCTTTACCCATGAATGTCAGTACAATTTCTTGAGGAAGATCATGAATGCTCCATTCCACCATTTCTTCTGATTCCCTGTATACATAACATTAAACTGTGCTTCATTACATAACAACAGAGCAGAATGTGCTGTAACTTCAGCAAACTTACATCAATGCATGATTCGCACAAAACACAGCTACATGACGCATGTCGTCGAAGGTCTGTATCCATCTCCTCCAGACAGATGGCACAACTCCTCCATCCATCCCCCTTCTCACCAGGGCCACTAGCCAAATTACCAGTCAGTCTCTCGTATTCACTTTCAGTAAGAGGCCCAAAGGCAAGTGCATCACTACTGGCATCTCCTGACCCATCATTGCTTGGAATATCCATCACGTCCTCGCCTTCCAAGTCTAGAGGCTCTCCAGACTTCTTGCTGCTGTCCTGATCATTGGGAGATCTTGCACACTAATGAGAACATATAATCCATTACACTGCAATGCATACAATACATGGACAGGCCGCTGCACACACTATCCAACTGAATAGTACACCTTGAGCACACTACATTATAGATAATTATACACAGCCCAGCCATGAGATCGGAAGTTTTAGAATATGCTGCTGAAGGGAAAGTTGTAGGAGTAAAGACCCAATCAGTACATGCAGTTTCAGTAAACACACAGAAGTAGCCTGTGAATCAACATGCCTTAGCTGTCATAACCTCTTCTTCTGCAACACAGTCTACTGTAAAGACCAAACAATTTCTGGGCTAGAATTTAATGTTCTCAGAATTCCAGATGCTGGTCCTGCAGCTGCACATGATGTTTGCAGCTCAATATTGGAAATTTGATAACATACCCACTGAGGTGAAAACAGACCTGGTCAGAGGGAAAATAAAATTTAGAACATCTGCACCTCTATGCAGAATTTCCAAAAACAGAAAATGACAAACACCACTCTTTTCTCTTTAAAAAAGCATCCCACTCTGTAATCCATCCATGCCTCAGCACATCAAATTCTATGTTGGCACAACAGACTTTTGTTCAGAAATGTTTCAAGAGCAAACATGCACTGATTCATGGACCAGTTGCCCTTGACTACTGAAACTGCAGACACTTATGAGTGGGCTCTTATACAAATAAGTTCCCGTTCTATAGTGGTGAATCTTAAAGCACCCAATCTCAGTGCCAGACCGTAGATAAATTATTTAAACTATTTAAACTATTCACTATCTGCAAGATAAAGCGCTTGTCAAATGGAAAATTTCTGATTTACATTTCTTGGTTAGTGAGTTAAATGAAAGCACCAACAAGCTTGTAGCAACTTGTACGTGTAAAAATTCACATAGGAACCACTTGGGAAGTAGACAGTTTGAAGAATATTACTGAAATTTATTTCAGGGCAACAAGATGTGATGAGGAGATCCAAATAGCACAGAATGGCATCCAATAACCATCAGAAGTCAGTCTCCTGATTCAGAATCCACAGCACTATGTCTCCTGATTCAGAATCCACAGCACTATGTCTCCAGGTTCAGAATCCACAGCACTGTCTCCAGATACAGAATCCACAGTACTATGTCTCCTGATTCAGAATCCACAGTACTATGCCTCTAGATACAGGATCCACAGCATTATGTCTCCTGATTCAGAATCCACAGTACTATGTCTCCAGATACAGGATCCACAGCATTATGTCTCCTGATTCAGAATCCACAGTACTATGTCTCCTGATTCAGAATCCACAGCACTATGTCCCCAGATTTAGAATGAGCAGTAACAAGCCACCACATTCGGAGAGCAGATATTTAGATTCAACATTACCTGTGGAAGTGATTTTTCTTCAAGCATCTTATTTTTCAAATCACTTGCAGCTGGAGGTGGGAGAATTTCAAAAGCATATATACTGCGGTTAGTATCATTCACATAGCGCAAAAGTGAATTTTCATCCTGAAAGAAATAAAGAGCCTTAACTATAATGCAACACCGATTAACATGAACCACTTACCTACAACTTTAAACTCTATATAATATAGTAAAGTTGTCACTGGGCTTAATCAAGCACCATACCATGAAGGCATAAGGGGATAAAGGGGCATAACTAGACACACTCACAACCTCAGTACTAGATGTGAGTGGTCAGGTTCATGCTGCAACCACTTTGCCCCCTGGTAAAACAAACACTGATAATACTGATTTGACAGGAGGCTCGGTGGACCCCAGAGTTGGTCTACATGCTAAGAGAAGAGAAAAATGTCTTGCCTCTGCCAGGAATAGAACCCCAGTTCCCCAAACCCCAGCTAGTCACTACACTTGCTGATCTATCCCCAAACTGCTTAACATATTCAGGACCGGAGGGGCCAATTCGCTCTCTACGTTTCTATAGCGTTGCGGACCGGCCAATTGGCCCTTTTCTGACGCGTTATGTTGCAACCGACTATATCTCGCTGTGTGGCCATGGTGCATCATAACTACTGCGTAGCTGACCTTGGGAATGTTTGCTAGCTTAGCCAGTAACATGATCATGCTCATTTCCTGTCACACCCTAAAGAAATGCCTGAAACGTGGTGACACCACATTCAGGAGGAAGGGGGACATTCTTCTTCAGTCCTGGAGGGATACTCGCATTGTGAATATGGTTTCCACTATTCACAAGTCGAGTATGTTTGATGTTCAGAGACGCCACGGGCAAGTGAAGAAGCCTCTTTGTATTTCCGAGTATAATATGTTCATGAAGGGAGTTGATAGGGCCGACCAGTACTTGGTCTATTATTCCCTTCTTAGGAAAACAGCAGAATGGACGAAGCAAGTTGCACTGTGGCTTATAAACTGTGCACTTTTCATTTCATTTTCAGTTTTCAAAAAGGTGAACAGAAATTCTACTTTGAAATACAAAGCATTTCTGTTGAACTCGGCAAAAGCTTGGGCTACTGACCTCACAGTGGCGGCAGTACCTGCGTCAGACACAGACGTAGTGCAGCCGGGGCCATCTGTTGGCACCCGCCGGAGGTCTCACGTGGACCCCCCTGGACGATTCTCAGGTGATATGCGGAAACATACCCTCGTGAGAATTGTGAAGAGTGAACATTGCAAGAAGAAGAGTAGGACTGCGTACATCTGCAACTTATGCATGATGCCTCTTCACAAAGGGGAAGGTTTCCAGAGATATCACACGCGCAAGCACTTCTAGGAGCTCTGGTAAGTGTTCTCCAAAAATTTTAGTTCATAAAATTAATTAGGAGACTTTATATTAATTTTTAAAGTGAACAGTGCACAAGTTAGGGTGCTAGGCTTAAAAACCCCGGTCCCCAGGGTGATTTAAATATTTAAACAACTGGTCCGCAATGTGTTAAAATCTCAATATGATAATACATTTTCAGGCATTCATCATGCTGCTCCATTTTGCACAAGTAAAAACTCCCCACTAAAGAAAACCCACTTTCTTCAGAAACACACAGAACAAAGGAGTGGGGCCTTCAAATTACTGTATTTTCACCATGCCTGTCGCCCACCGAGTACTCAAGTTCATGCTCAAGGTCCCATTAATGTTACTAGTGGTGGAGGAAAGTGACAGAGTGGAGGTTGCCCAACACTCACCTGCAAACTGATATCATATGTATGGTAGATTAGTTGGCTTATTTTCAAGTTAATTTGGAGAAGTTTAAGGAGTTCTAAGTCAGCAGTTTGGAAAAGATGTGCTGTGAGCTTGAAGGAGATTTTTAGTCTCACATAAAGCTGCAGTCAAGCTCATGCATAGCAATTGAGTAGCTTTTCTGAGAAAGAAAGATGTCAGTACAATAAAGCAACATCAGGGAGTCAGTCATTGCCAATTGAAAATGGGCCTTTTGTTTGCTTGCTTTTAGCACATATTGTGTTCTCTCTTCAGTATCATAAACAGTTTTGAAGTTAATCCATCTTGTCTTCATATTTTATTTATTTTCAGGCTGTCAACTTCACACAGGTGTATTATTTCAGCTTCATATTCAAGTCAAAGTTCTTCCATTTCATTGCCATAATTTGCATTTTTTCAAAAAATTTGCAACCAGTGCCATCTGAAACGTGACAGACATTTTGATGGGGGATAAAACCATAAACATATGCATGTGTAGCTGTATTCTGCAACTTCATCAGGGGTCAGTGGAAGCTCAAGGGAAAGCAAAACCTGTCTGACAGGGAGAGGAAGATACTCCACAGCAGCTCTGTAAAACAGAATTTAACTAGCCAAGTGACGTGACACATGACGATGCAAGTTACTGGTCTGATAAAGAAATTCAGAGGATGTCTTATGATGTACACTTCTCAACGGTTGAAATTTGGAGGGGGAAAGCTGCTCTCAGATTCTAACGTGAACTTTCTCCTAGACATGGGTTGGTCACACACAGTCGGTTAATGAGACCTTTAGAAACTGCCAGCCATAAATAACTTTGCAAGCATCAAATCATAGGTTAGCACGGGGCACATACATACATTACATATATCCATCCACAGACATAGTGCATTCTAAAAACCGTTCTTTTACATTAAGGAAAGCTAAAAACAAGCAAATCTGTCGAGATTTCGAGATTGATTTCCTTCACATTTGAAGTATCTTCTCATGCTAAGTAAATGCGAAAGTAATAATGGGATGAAAGATTCAATGCACTCATTTCTGTCCACTCCTGATTCTAAATATTTATGGCAAAACTAAAAGAACAGCATTAAACAGTATTTCTAGTGGTTTTCACAGAATGGGGGAATTTGGAAGAAGCCACTTTTTGTATTGAGTGATTCAGGACGTCCTAAAAGCTAGCGGGTCTGCAAGACTGTTCTACTGTGACCTGATTCTAACCACAGTTAACAAAGACAGCATTCGCCAACAGAAGTATCTATCATGTAGCCTCTGGCCTACCATAAGCCATTCATTTCCAGCAACACACAACTGGGCGTCAACACCAAGTGAGCACCATGTATGATGCATTAGCAGAGGCTTACTATGCAAATTAGATATACAGTAACATAAACTAAGCTGCATATATAAAGGTCAGCTGTTTCAGGATTTCATATATGGGCAAAGGGATTCACTTTTAACAATCTGATTTTTCCTGAAAGTTTATAGTTTTGGACAATAAACATAGAGGAAACCCAAGAAAAATACTGAGTCAGAATAGTTCATGTCCTGGCTAAGATTTCAACTGGACACCTTGCAAACTATGTCAGAAGCATTACTGCTTGAGAGAACTTGCTCTGCGGTAACACAACAAATAAATGGCATTTTACAGCACCTGCATCAAGGCAGTGGCATATCTTAGCAAAAACAGCCCGCATTTTAAGGGGCCACATACACGTTCACATGTGTGAGTTGTTCGAATGAAACCTGTTCACGATACTGTCAGCAGATATGATCAGTCACTTGTAATCGTATGGCTGTGTGCATGAAATACCCGCAGTCAACCACAACCTGTGTGTCACAATAGGTGAACTACAGCAAGCAGGAACACTGTGACATGGTTAAATGCCAGCATTCCCCATGTAGGATCTGTCCAAACAGGACCAACAAGCTATTATTCAGCTCCCAGGTCCTAAAGGTTAATGCTGGCATTCAAGAAACCTAATACCACCATCAACACACAGTAATCCTGTGCAACCCTCAAAGACTTCCACACTCAAACTGAAAGAGAGCCTGACACAGCATGCTCACAAGAGGAATCATCATGTTGCATGTCCAGCAAAAGCTGCATTCCATGCACTGAAAGCTGCTGAATCATCCTCCATACAGCCAGGAACTGTCACTACCACACATTCAGACTAGATGATGACAAGGCCACCTTGATGCAGTGGCAAGTTCTCTGCAGAGAGAACCCACTGGCTGGCACATCAATGGAAAGCATGACTCAGTGCCCAGGGGCACAATTTTTAATGACCTCTACTCCTTCAGCTGGAAAATTTCTGAACAGTTCTTCCGCAGATTTCTTACATATATTATACCTTATACAGCCCACCTCAACAATACAGAACTACCAGCTTACCAATATTCTTGCTATGTGGCTATCCAAAACTTCTGCCAAAGCAATATTTTTTGGTACATCATGACCAATACATTTTATTAGTTCTTCTTTTAATTTTATGATTTTATCTTGTTTATTCAAGGTCACTAGATAACGGATGGGCTTCTTCGCATTTGCTGATACAAATGTTACACCTAGAGGAAACATAAGAGAAATCAGTAGTAATTTCAGAATTTTGTAGACATATATACACCAAACATTCTGCAGAACATAAATTTTCAAGACCTTGAACAACATTCTCACACCTTTGTAAACTGTTTATCAGACAACCCAGTATTGACTGACTGAATGATGGTGAACAAGGAAATGGAATTGATGGAAAAGGAAACAATCATGACCTAATTTCAGGCACTGTCATGTCAGCAAGGGGGGTGGGGGCACCTCTTCCAGGAAACACTCAGGTTTTCTTCCTCAGGAGTGTTCAGTAAACTGCAGAAGACCAAGGTTGGCTAAGAACATGCAAGACTTCTAGAATAAACTGCACCTACAAAACGTAACTGCGAAAGTCCAGTACGGACGGTCTGAGTGAAACTGCCAAGTTAGGTGGGTGTGAGCAATGAGTGCAAGAGAAACAGATGTGAAACAGAGCATGCTGTAAATTGCAAGTTAATGCAGTGCAAGCCAAAATACGGACAGAGCACTAGCATGCAGTGAAACAATATAGAACAAATGAAAACTGAAATCATGACCATCAGGAGTTACAGGGGGGGGGTAAAGCTATCCCTATAACAGGTCATGGTGACCTATAGGGTTGTGAGACATTGAGGCTCCTACATTTTCTAGGCAACTGGCTCACAGATGGTGGTAAGCTTGCCAGCCTTATGCACAGGCCACTCTATAACCCCCAGGAAGTTTCCTGGTACTCATTCCTGTTAGAGGTTGAGTTGACCTGGGACCATAGTGCGGCTGGAAGGATTAGGTAAATTGAAAAAAATCCACCTTATCAGGACTCGAACCCGCAGCCTTCAAGTTTGTACCATAGTGCCTCAACCAACTACGCTACCACAAGCCACCACCATAGTATATGAAAGTACAATTATATATAACACTTACGTACTAATTGACATAAAATATATGATACAATAAATAACATATCACAAGCACATTATAGAATACCAGAAACATGCAGAAAATATACACACATCCCTGCCATAACAACAAAACAAAACACAAAAAGAAATAGTACAGAAGAATACACTAATCATTTTGAGATTATTTTAACAAGAATCCAACTTGGTTTTTAAAAAAATAAAACTTTTACACCTACAAGCATTATGTGATATGAAATATTAGAATATAATATAGCAATTTATACCTAATGATGGACCCACATGGGTCAAACATGTCACAAATATGAGTATATATGAAAACATGGACAACCTATAAATAATGCATTTACAAGACTGCATTACACATACACAGCAGGTCTTCTCATGTATCACAGGGACTGGGGACTGAAGGGGTGAGAACCACCACCACTACACTGTCTAATCATATTGTGTTGTGAGGAGGAGCAGAAGGCCTCCTTACTCTCAACAGAATATAAGTTTCTCCTTGAAATAATAGTGCAAATATTAGGGAATTAAAAAAATACTGAATAGGAGACTGACTCTGACAAGGCAGTTTCACCTGGCAGTCCACGTCAGCTTGAAGAAGATACATCAGCAGCAGCTTACAACAGTGCTGCAAGTGGAAGCTGAGAAAAGGGTTGGCCAAAATCACAATATCATAAGAATTTTGATGGTATCTATCCTTTAACTGAAGGTCTCAGTGGGCTGAGGATAGAAGACTCTTCACCACTTACCATCTTCCAGGTATTCTTCACCACAGTGATCCAACTTTTAGGGGGTACAGAGTAATGTATAATTATGAATACACCCAGTATCAAGACAAACTTGACAGTGACAACAGTTGATCATTACTTTCTGATATGACTGTACAGAGATGTACATTCTTTTCACTATAATACAAATGGGACATGACATAGTGGCACGATGAAAAATTACAGATCCACTCTCCATGATCTACATCCATTTTAGAGTAACATGAAATGTGACAGGTTTCTTCACACACAGAGTGGAATTCTGATTTAAGGTTTTCTCATATCTAATGTTCACTTTTTTTAGTCCTGGAAAAATTCCCATATACACTATGCATAATTATCCCACTTAAGGTTCGTTGATTTAAGGTTATACCTGCAGTTAGTGCACAAAAATTCAGTCCATATATGAAGTCAGTACCCTGATTTAGTATATACACTAAAACTGAGGGCCATAACATGTCCACTTCTGGTTTACACATGTTACTTGCTCAAGAACGGCTTTGGTGTTGTCAGTTGATCAGCTAGTGAACAATGTGCATGGTGTTCACTAACCTTGAGCAAATAGCATCAAGGAGTCACACCACATCTACAGCATCCTCCTTAAGGTTGTGTACACTGTCAGTCTAATAGTATGCATCCTGCTGTGTGTCATAAACAAGGTACAAAAAATGTATACAAAAGTATGCAGCCTACACAATATTCTGTATTTAAAACAAAGTAGACACTATTGTATCAACGTTTGTTTTTATTGATGCAACATGTTTCAACCCTTATACTGGGTCATCATCAGGCACACAATGATATCAGACTCAGCTGTTGAATTGCATCTAATTCTTCGATAAGGATCCTTATTGTGCACTTGAGTGTTTTTAAATGAATAAATTGAGTCTTTCCATTAAAATTTTTAAATGCTGAGATAAATAAAATTTAAAAATTAGAGACAAAGATGGAAATAAAGTATTTTGCGATAAATCTCTTCAAACTTTGTGACCGCTACATGTTGACATGATTTTCAGGTGGGAGAAGCGACTATAGTGTGGGGCATCTGCATATCAGGATCTTCTCACATAAGTTAGGTCGCATGGTCTTGACGTTACTGTCGTCTTGTGGAGCTTATGCTCATTATTCTGTATGTCAGCCAACAGGTTGTTTATTTGAAGTGACGTATATTAGATTTTCTTATGTTGATACAAGTATATGCGTACGAGCTGCTCTATGTTCATGTTGTCGCTATGTCATAGCGGTTTGGTCTAGACTACTTGTATTAGACTAGACTAGTCTAGATTACTAGACAACAATTGCCTGTAGAAGTTCAGCATGCCCAGGAAATGGTGGAAATGGTCTTAGGAGGCCGGCAGTCCTGAAGATGGGTTACTCGTTCTTCCAGAGGTTTGCAACCCTTGGTAGACACCTTGTAACTGAGGAAAGTGATCTCAGGGTCTCGGAATATGCACTTTGCCGGGTTGATGAGGGTACCACATATCTGAAGTTGGTTGAAGAAAGGCAGTATGTGTTACTCACACTCCTCAAAGAGACCAGGAGAAAAAGAGGATATCGTCCAAGTAGACAGTTGCATTTGCAGTCTACCAGGAGGCTGAAATGGGAGAAGAAATTGATGCCGATGAGGGGATGTATGACATTGGTCATCACGAATTGTCACGTGAAATTTCGTCCTATTCCCAGGTTCAGCCTGAGGGGCAGCCATCCGTAGGTGGGGATGGTAGTGACATTAGGCCCTGCAGGTCGTAACTGACATGTTTCTTGCATCATGGAATGAGCCTGTGGGGGTACAAGCAAAGATCTGAACTCGTATCAACCAGGAACTGCAGTTTACTAATCCTGTTTGTGATGAAGAGGCGGCCTGTGGCTGCAGTGCAGACATGTGCCACCACTGATGTCTGCTATGTTATTTATCTTGCCGGCAGCAAGCGCAGGGCTGAGTACACTTTTGTGCCTGGACTCTGTAGCGGCAATGATACCAACAGAGGGTGGATGTAGCATTATCTCAGTAGGGTGGGTCTGTGATCTGATCAGCGTTTTCTGGAGCTGTGGCAGGGATCCCTGGAGCTGGAGCAAGTGTCCCTTGAGCTCAGTGCTGAATTCGGCCACCTCGCAGGAGAGGTCCTTGATCTGCTGCAGAAGTGCAGCACTGTCAAGTAGTGAAGTGACACTCGCGAGTGTTGGCTGGGGTGTGGCCTCAATTATGCAGTCCACACAGGGGCTGTGGATTCCAAGTCACCCTCAAGTTGGCCAGTGAGGATGGCCCCTATATTGGAGGGTAGTCAGCTGGACCAGATACTGCAGATAATATCATCTGCCATGTCTGGGATGAGGCTTCTGAGGTGTCAGAAACCGATATGGCTTGTGTCTCCCATCTTGAACGTAAGGAACTGGCGGATATGTTGTTCTTTTGAGGGGGACAGCGAACTCACCAGTTTGGTCTTTAGCTTGGTGTAGAGGTCTCGTTCTGGTGGTGAGGTGATGATATCCTCTACTTCCATGTCATACTGGTGGTCCAGTTGCAAGATCACATAGTAGAACTTGGTTTTCTCATTGCTGATACCAGCCAAGGTGAACTATGCTTCGACTTTGGAGAACAACACTGCTGCTTGCTCAGCTCAGAATGGCAGAAGTCACATGGCCACTCCGGATATTTCTGCTGGTATTGAGTTGTCCATAGTCTGTTGTTTTGTTGGGGTCACCAATACTGGATGTCATTGTATGAAGAGACAGTCACAAATTAAACTGTTATATAAATACTTATTGCAGCTGTACATAATATATGGACAAACTTCTTTTTGAAAAATTCAAGGTCGCTGGTTGCAGATGAGCTCAGTGAAGATCTGTGTGTCTGGTTCTGGTTGGTTCTTCCAACATTAGCCCACCTCAAGTAGTCTCGTTCTGACCTTGTAGTGAACACCTGTTTCTCCTGTTTGGTTACTGCATTCTGCTGAGCAGGTATTAGAACTGTGAAGTCTGCCTGAATGTAGCTCTGCATTTCCACATTTACCACAGAAAGGAAAGCCTTCAGAATCAGAGTTCCATCAGAGCATGGGAAGATAATATTTCCACTTGGATTTATGCATATAATAATTTGTCTTGTTTCACAAACAGCACTATTTGCAGGTACAGAATGTATTTTCTTGCAAACATTTTTCACTCGAATGTTTTAGTAGTCACAGTTCCAAAGACATACATGTTACTTCAGTACCAATATAATTACCACTTAAACCCCCACATACCCCAAGCTAAAATCTGGCCACCAGCCCAGCAGTTAACACTTTGCGGACCAGTGGCATATTTTTATGCCCAGCGCTTTTAAACATGGCGGACCGGTGGCATATTATTATGACTTTAGGACACATTATGTTGAAACACACTATACCTTGCATTGGCGCCAGGCAGACGCATGACTGGTGTGTGATAAACCTCTTGAATGTTTGCTTCGTAGTCAGTAACATGACCTGCTGTTTATGACAACACTGTTTTCCTTTCTCACTCCAAAAGAAAATGCCTTTGTTCATCTTCCAGCTGCATGCACCAGGCAGGAAGTTACTAGTGCAAAATGGATCAAGGTCGGAAGAGGTTGAGGTCCAAGTGTTTTCTCGGAGAACAAGAAATATCTGACTTGTTTTTCAATGAGCTATCTGACATCCCTTGTGAGTCTGCAAGTGATAGCGACTCACTATCTGATAGTGAGTGTGGCAGGGGCGAACAAAAAATTGTGGCCACAGACAGTGAAAGTGAAAGTGACAGTAGCTCTGACAAAACTGCGGGTAGCAACACTGCGGGGAGAGCCACACGGGGAAAAGTAGACAAAACGCCTGCTTTGGGACAGTTTACTGGAAATCCAGGGGTAAGCAAAGGATACATTTGTTACGGTTTACCTGTGTAAGCAGGAATGGCGTAATCACAGCGTGTCTGTGTCGTGTGTATAAAAGTTTCGCATTAAAGCAGTGAGTACTTTGTTGGGAAACCTAAGAAATAGTTTATAGTCAGTAAAGTTTGTGGCCATCAAAACCCACATGATCTTTATGAAAACTCGACCCAGTTGCTACACTTATACACTGTTCCAATTCCATAAAACCTGATCATGGGCAAAATCACGTCGTGACAAATTAACATAGATAATCTTATATGTGCCATTTTCAATTCATTTTTGGTTTTCCAAATCTACACCCTCATTCAAAATTGAAATACAAGGCATTTCTGCTGAATGTGGCAAAAGCCTGGGCTACAGACCACACGGTGGCGGCAGAAACAGTCTTAGTACGACCGGGGCCGTCTACTCCCACCCCACGCAGGCCTCATTTTGACCCCCCTGGGCGACTCTTGGGTGATATGCGGAAATATACTGACATGTTGTGCAATTGAGAACCCCCCCCCCACCAGCAGTGATGCAGCGGGTGAGTCAGCGCTCCGTCATCCACCTTCCGCACGGTGACTTAAGACGGCGTGAGGTAACAGCGTTGCTACGTAACAGGCACACACAGCCACTATATAAGAGAGCTGCGCTGCCTACGAGTAGAGTTGTCATGTGGCTATCGCCGAGTTCAGTTGTAGTCGAGTTAACTTGCAGCCATCCCCGGAGACAGTTAAAGTGTATCAGCGGCCGAAGACAGTTCCGAGTTAGTTCCGAGCAAGCCTATGAGCGAGTGTGTGATCAACAGTTCTCAAGGCAGCAGCCTACGAGTTGAGTTGGAATATAGCAGCAGTCGCAGAAAGAAGAACCGGACGTGTAATTATGTAATTGGGAGTGTGTGATACAGTGATACATAGCTCCCGTACTGTAAACGTAAATGTAACGTGTTTCATTACTGAATACACCGTAGAAATTGTTAATTGGTTTATTCAACAACCTACAAGTAACGGCTACAATTAATTATAACAGTGGCGGGTTTCACACTTTACAAACCCTACAATACCCTCGTGAAAATTGTGAAGAGTGAACATGCCAAGGGGAAGCAGCCTTCTAGGAGATGCCATGTTTGCACAGTACACAACAAAAGGAGTATGACTGTCTACATGTGCAAGTTCTGTGTAATGCAACTTCACAAAGGGGAATGTTTCCAGAAATATCACACTCTCAAGCACTTCTAGGAGCATTGGTAAGTGTTCTCCAAAAATTGTAGTTCATAAAATTAATTAGGAGATTTTATATTAATTTTTAACTGTGAACAGTGCACAAGTTAGGGTATAGGTTTAAAAATGCCGGTCCCCAGGGTGATTTAAATATTTAAATTGTGGTCCACAAAGTGTTAAAGATCCCAATCCTCTACAGTAACAGTCAATCATAACTCATTTATCCATTCTTGTGCTTTTTCATGCATACAGATGGATGGATCAAGTAACTTTAGTAGGCACTCCAAAGGGATGCGAACGTGCCTAAAAATGATTTACAAACGGCTCCTAAACCTGTGGAAGAGCAAGTGGCACTGTAAATTTACTTAACAATTATACATATAGGCAACAGACCATTTAACCCAATTTCACAAATTTTTCTTTATTTGAATGAACATTATAAATTTTCTGATTGTACTGTAGTTCAACTTACATATTTGTCTCTCCATGGCATGAGGCAAAGGGACGGAGAGATACATGAATGGTTCGTACGTAACAGAAACATGTTTGCATGACGAGCAGACAACCTGCAACACAAATAGAAGTTCTCAGTGTAATCACAGATATAGGTCTATGTAACCGAGTAACCAACAATTCTTGCTTTCAACCTAATCTTTATTAATTGTACGTTGCAATATTGTGACTGCGTACCCATGGAGCAGCCATGGTATCATGACACTAAAATATTCCTTTACTTTGAGCCAGCCTACAGCACCTAAGGAATTGGAATGCTGACCACTGCCATGTACAGACTTCCATTATGTTTTCCTGCTGTAAGGCATTTATACATATAAAACCTATGAAGGTGATTTAAGTCTGAAAGTGAGCAGGTTTCGGTCATGGCATTTCCATGCATCAATCATTCAGACACCTCAAGACTGCTGTAATCTCTGAATGAGGCAACAAGAACACTGAAACCAACAAATGATTGTAGCTCAGATGGGGGGAGGAAGGTGAACCAATGATATTAGTTTCAAATACAGACAATAGGCATTATTTCTATTTATCACAGTCTATTCAATCAGCTGTCGGTACCTCAGACTATGTAGCAATAACTAATCATATCAGCTGAAAGGACAATGAATGTGAGGGGATGTGGAAGGAAAAATTCATGGACCAATCTGAGACACATGCTTTAATGAACTTATGAATGCCATCATCCCAGATGAGATTAAAATCAATCAACTCCCAAATAATGGTCAGGACTACTACTTCAGCAAATGTGCTCATTGCAGTCATGAAAATTAAACAGCAAGGTACAGACACACTTGTAACAGACACTGACCTGTGCCGTCTTATCATGACAGTGGGTAAGATGATGTATACTCTATATCATTCTCAAATGAATGTAATTTTCTCCTTCCCATGATAGCACAAATCTTGTGGACTAAAAAACATATGAAAGAAGAACTGATTTTGGAGAGCAACTTGAATAAAATCTCATCTGAGAGTAAATGTGAGCTTGATGGAAGCAAAGTAGCAGCAGGCGACAGTAACACAAGCAGAAGCCAAAATAATGTTCAATCAAACAACAAATTAGTGTTGAGGCACACTAAGCAATGACAGAGATGCTTGCAACTTCTTGATATGATTGTACAGGAGATGCATATCTTTTTGGCTCTAATAGTATGAATGGACATGACATCAGGAACACACTGAAAGACTGCCAAACAGTTCAATACATCATTTTACAGTAAAATGATGAGAGACCAATTTTACATACATCGAAAGTCTTTTGCTTACAATAAGATTAAATTTCATGAATATTATTTTGAACACTGCCAAATGTCTTAAAGTATATTTCACATACACATTCCAGAAACTGTACCTATTTCAGTAATCAACTGTTAGCGGGAAGAAGGGAACTTACTCAGCTGAGCCAAACAGAAAGAACTAGTACCAAATCAGCTCAGTAATTGAAACTAGTTGCTTATGATGCACACAACTGGATAGAATCTCCCCCTGCCTTTCAAAGTGTAGTTTCTGGAGCAATGTGCGTGACACACCCCAGACATCATGGAATACAACATTCATATAATGAGGAAAATACATAATGTCACAAACCTTCAGCAAGTCATCAATAAGGATCTGCCATGAATGACAAAACAGGGACTATGACTAAACTTGGGAACACAATTTTCTTCAATAAGAAAGTTCCTGTGGTAACTCCATAAATTTCACAATCCATCTAAACATTCAGATGTGGATGAACTTGAGTTCTCCAGAGGGAGAGTTACTCTCACACAATGTATAATACATAAACACTGTGGTACAAGATTTACAGACCGTGCAACATGGCTAGCTATAATTGCAATATGAAAATAAACTTAGTGAGACAGGCAAAATCCAAAAACATATCACATCATTTGCATGTGTGACAGCGAGATGTGTATATACTATGAATATGCATAAACCACCAGGAAGGTAATTTCTGTGATAAACCCAGGAAAGCTCAAAACCTGAGGGTAATTTCTGCGACAAACTTGGGAGAGCTCGAAACCTGCCACTGCTGAAGATTACAGTCAACATATGGGCCACATGAACTGGACAGAACAGCTACTAGCTATTCAATCAGAGATCATTGTTGTGGACAAAGAAAATTATGTCTTCACCTGTTGTATGTAACAGTACTGAATACCTACATCATTCTATTATTCTGTAATAGCAAAACAGACCACTGAAAATTTCATTTGACACTGGTTCAAAAGCTGCTGGAAATGAATGAAAGGGAGCCTCATCCTCAATTTATCATAAGGGGATGAACAAACTCACAAGCCCATCAAATCACTCACCTTGAAGTTTGACACAATGAGAATAGGCTAGCTGCAGGATCACTATTACATCTTAGTGCTCAGAGCACAAACTTGGTTTGCAGACAGACACTGCAATTCCATATCATAAAATGATAAGCTATAACAAGACTTCCACCACAAGCAGAGAAATATTCTCAGAAATGTCACCACTGTACATTTCAAATTTACATGTGGTATACATAATATTCTGTCGTTCCAGAATTATAAACTTCTCTGCGAATAATTTTTACAATGGTAAGAAATTACACTAATAATATCATGGCAACACATTTTCTTTCTAGTACTTCTCAATGGAATATTCTGGCAGCAGTAGCCTACTGTTAAACAGGCTTTATGGAAGGCTGAAATAAATAAAGTGTACTTGATTATGTTCCGCCCACATCTGTTTCAACTTCGGTAAAAGAAAAAGTGCGTGAATAGTTTTCGAGTCCAAGGCAAAATATTGGGTGTATATGCGACAAATAACTTCACGCCGTACTGGATATAGCGAATTTTATTTCACATTCGCTCTTACAATCACAATTTACAAGCTCAACATGACTGCCATCGGCAGTATCACAAATGCCAGAATGCATACTCTTCCCTGGCCAACTCGTACCTCGTAACTAACTCTTGAATAGTCTTCGCTGCCCCTTATTTAGCCCCCTTACGGACAACACAGAAAGCAGTTATGTAATAGACACCACTGTCGCCTGACACAGTGTTTGCCAATAGCCTAGCAACGCTGTCGGGAGTTGTTTACTGCTGAGTAGCAACGGCGGCATCCCGTGTTACGTCACCGCTCAAGGGGGAGGGGGTGTTATGCATAGCGCAAATACGTCACAATATAAACATTTCTTCAATAATAATATCACACCTAGAGCCAATGCTGTAGCAGAAGGATTCAAATTTGTTATTCCTTTATAGTAAAGGTTAAATGTTTGGAGACAGAATATCAGTGTTCATACCAAATGAAGTTCTCAATGATGTTTCCTTCTTACATAGTGTGACGTGTTGCGCAATGGAGGACACCCCTTCCCTCCCCAGCGGTGACGTAGCAGGTGAGTCAGCACTCTGCCCCCCCCCCGCAACTGTGACGTGGCACTCAACGCCACTGTTGACACGGGCAATATGCAACAGCAAACAGAATAAAAGCTGGCTGAGCAGCAAGTGAGTGTTAGCGTGTAATCAGGAGTTAGTGTGTGAACCGGAGAAACACAGTTGGAATCTAGCAGCAGTCATGGAAAGAAGAACCAGACGGGTGTGTTAATCAGCGATAGTTTGTGATAACTGAGAAGTAATTGGGAGTGTGTAACACAGTGACACTTATATAGCTCCCATACTGTGAATACGTGTAGACTACTGAGGACAGAGTGAAGAGATTATTGCGAATAGGGTTATAAAGTGTGAAACCCCGCAGAGTGAGGAGATTATTGCGAATGGGTTTATAAAGTGTGAAACCCCGCACAGTGAAGAGATTATTGCGAATAGGGTTATAAAGTGTGAAACCCCGCAACAGTGTTATAATCAATTGTAGTTACGACTTGTAGGTTGTTAAATAAACCAATTAACAATCCGAGCGGCGTCTTCCATGGCTAAACATGTTACAATATCAATATTTTTTTTCACACACTAACAACACACACCAGTAGTGTTAATGTTCTTGTTACCACTAACAGTGTGCAACATACATATTCAGCTCAAGGGCAATGCAGATGCTTGGCCTATCTTCCCTTGGTGCATGAATGAGGACAAAAATGAACAAACTCTAAGCCACATGCCAAACACTGAGACCTGTCCTGTCTGCTTTGTTTACTTTGCTCCTCACACTTTACATGTCAAATTATGCTGAACTACAATTATGACCTCAATTATGAAAACGCAATCAACAGCTTAGTAGCTATTCAAAAATGTGTCATATCAGCTGAAAGCCAGAGTGGCAGAGCAAGAAGAGCTGGCCATTGCTAGGCAACGACCAGTAAACACACGGGAAACAACGACTATGACATGACATATTCTATGTTGTCTGTGCACTCCAACCTGAAGCTATATAACAAGGGCCAGTGGGACAAGCCAGCAAGTTGCAGCTGCAGTTGGCCAAAAATGAAAAAGAGAGACAGACATACACCTTAAGGTTAAGAACCACAGGCTTCCTCAGGTTTATCTGAACTACTGCCAAAGTTATGAACCAAAAGCATTAACTTCTAAAGAAAAAATACAGTGTTTCTTGAGTAACAAGTTTTCAGAGGACCTCCAAAAAAAGAACTCATTAAGTGGAAAACTTTTAGGAGGGAAATGTAAAATTAGGTTCATTTTTTGGAGCCACTTTCATAGTTTTGTCCCAAGCAACCATTTCCTAATATTTCAATTACAAAAAATATGAATGTATATTACCATGGCAACTTGGAAATACTGTGGCAGCAAAACAGCAATATTTTGCTTAAGTGCTAAGAAAAACTTAATAAAGCACAAGTCATAATGGAGCACCTAGAAATTGTGTAAAAATAACATATAAATTTGAACACAGCTGTTCAGGTTTGCTTCCAATTTCTGTACAACATTAAATGTCTCCTGCAAAGTCACTGCTTTCCATTTAACTAGAACCAGTGCTACATTTACTTTAAATTACTTTACACCACAATACAAGTAATAGCAATAGTTTCTTGTTCATATTAAATTTGTAAAAGCACATGTACACATGATATCAAGCAAGCTGAACAGTGAAACAAGAATGC